CATATCGGTGATCTCACAGGCTGACGATATGAAAATTGAGCATATCGCCCAACACTAACTTGAAGCAACAGTGCTTAGACCGATGGGTGTGTGTCATCAAAGTACTGCGAGAGCTATAAGAGAGTGGACATCTCCTTATGCTTTCTCTCGTCGTACTTTGATGTCATAGGCTACACCAATCGATCTTCAAGTCGAACACACCTCTTTCCTCTCGCGTGTCACGTGACTGAGTGTAATCGCAGCCTCTGCGATTGAAAAATTTCGTTTTTTCATATCGCAAATGTAATTAATCGTTCAACCCTATCCTACACACGCGTGACTGACCGCTCGCTCACACCAACAGGAGGAGGAGGGTCGTGTTACTCTCTACACTGCACTCAACCTAAGGGATTCCTTCACTTTAAGTCTTTGAGGATACATGAAAAAAAGCGCATACCGCAGGAACGGTATAACGAAAAATATTAGTGGTTTTGAAACGTGAAATTTTCAAACCGCAGTATACCTTGAAACCGGTAATCGGCCCATGCCTAGTTACAGCACAGTAGCGCTACTGCAAACAGGAACAAGTATACTACATAGAAATTCCCTATCAGCATGTTGTTTGAGCGGACTTTGCTTTTTTGGGGAGGATGAGCGGTACACAAGCACATTCATAGAGTGGAATATTGAGCGTCGCATCAAACCGCGCAGTGACAAGGAGAGTGAAACCTGCACGCTGAACACTGCAGAGCGGGGTGGGGAGGGGCGCGCCATATATATTATATGTATATTTTTGACTCGTATTTTCGGCCTGTTTTCTCTTTTGGATGAAAACCGAAAATGCCATTTTCGGCCGATAATTTTTGGTGGCCGAAAATTCGGTGCATCCATATTTGTGTTATGTTAATCTAGCCTAGGTCCTTGTTGAATATCTCTCATTATTTTCATACTAATAAACAAACGGTGAAGACCAGAATGCAGCAGATGCCTGATTTCTTTGTTTCAGTCTTTGTCTTAATCACATGCTCTTGTTAGTGCTCAGCGTTGGTCTTTTTATAGCAGGAACGGATAATCAGTACTGAACTGTTTTTGCCTCAGCTGTGTGGTTCGGCTGCACACAGATGGTTGCTAGAGACCCCTCCAAACCGTTGGCTGAAATAACGCAGGATAATTGTGTGTTTGTGGAGTCCCAACAGGCAGTTTGAAGTGACTGGGATGGAGGTGGCGTGGCATGAAGTACTGTTACTGTGGGTTTGGTTCGCTCCGTGGATGTGCGTCTGCAAAGAGGTCATGATGAGTTTCAGTGCCAGTGAGGATCAGTAATGCTTTCACCATGGCGACTAAAAACTCTGATGTCTGATGTGTGAAATGTAGATTTCAAGATGGTGGATTAGTAACATCTTGTTATTGTTTTTGATTCATTTTGTTTACATGCTGAAACGGCCAGGATTATATGTTATGGCTCCGTTTGGTACGAAGTGTGACTTGGGCCTGCATATTTGAGAATGTATAAACTTATAACTGCAAGAGCTCATTATGCTCTTTGTGGCCTGAACCCACTTTTTTGATCCTAATCTCATTTTCAAAGATTACAGTTAGTGTTGCAGAGGTCCCAAAGCCCACTCTCATATGAAATTGTACTGGAAGCAACAAATATACTGCCACTGGTAAATTGGGTGTACTTGAATTGGATAGTATTCATGCATATCATTCACATTCCTGGCACCGTCTCCTGCTGCCCTTGCTGTTAAAAGGGGAAAGAGGTCTGGTGCACATCACATGTAACGCTGCTGGGATTGGCTAGCATACTGAAGCTTTCATGACATGGTGGTTTGAATTCTTTGCTATTTTTCAGTGATTATCTGAACCGTTATAATGACAGGCCTGTCAGCATCTCAGAGCCTCTCTAGTCGTTCAAAGTTCAAGTGGTGCTTAGGATCTGGCAATTTACAGAAACATTTCGCCCAGTAGGTCAATTGTTGATAAAGACTGTTCTCTGATTCTTATTAATACTATTTGGTTTGAAAGCACGTTAGCTCACTTAACCGCTGTTGTTTTTTGGTCTCCTTGGTCTGTGGCTCGGTTCTGAACCTGTCAGATTTATGTGTTGGTAAATGTGTGGAATGTCTTTTGAGTGTCTTGGATGTCTTTTGAGTGTTCAGGGCTCGGGTGAGGAATGTGGTATGCTAACCTCTTGTTCTTCATGAGTAGTCCCATAGACCCTCTATAGCAAGATGCAGGTCTCTAAGAGGCTTATAGTGTTTCCCCTCACGTGTCTCGGAGAGCACTGACTCTAATGGCTGGATTAGCTGTTTATTAGTCAGGCTGTTTGTTTCCAGGATGATATTCTCAATTCCACAATGGGATTTCCTGAACAGTGCAGAGTAGTGCTGTATCATAAAGCTAGTCACTATGGTTGTCTCAGTACCAAAATTGTAGTAATTTGTATCAGTGCCAGTCAATTTACTGATACTTGATACTGATTTAATCTTGATACTGATTTTCGTTTCATTTGACAAAGTTGTTATTGAAGGAAATGGTCAATAATGAAGAACAGAGAAATTAACGTCTTAAGTGAAAAGCTGCGTGTTTGGAATAAACAAATTCATCAATGAGACAATGAGCAAACCATTGCTTAACATCCTAAAAGATATGCTTAAATGGTTAGTTCATCCAAAAATGAAAATTAGCCTTTCTTTCAGACTAATCCAGTCGGAGATATATAAAAAATTGTCTTTGATCTTCCAAGCTGTTTAATGGCAGTCAGCGGGTGTTGCAGTGCATCAATCCAAAAGAAGTGAAATGAAGCGCATCCATTCACAATAAAAAGTGCCTTACACGGCTCCGGGGGGTGAACAAAGGCCTCCTGTAGCGAATCGATGCATTTTTGTAAGAAAAATAACCATATTTAAAACGCAATAATCAATTTAATCTAGCTTGCGCTCACTGTTGTACATGGAAGCAGCTCCGGGCGGATGACATAGCTGGAGTTGCGCATGCGCCGCTCAGAAGTGACGAACGCGGAAGCGCAGCGGAGAGATCAAAACAAAACAACATCATGAATTAGAAGTACAAATGAGGATTTGTAAAGAAGAATGTCGGAGGGTTTCGATATAAACCAAGAGGAGACTGGTTTTCCTTTGCTAAAGTAAGGAAAATTTGCTTCCTTTGCTCCTGTAAACAAATGTTGGTTTTCATGAGACTCACCGGCGCATGCGCAACGCCGACATCTTACGTCATCCTCCCGGAGCTGCTTCCGTGTACAACTGTTGGCGCAAGCTAGATTAAAGTGATTATTATGTTCTTGCAAAAACGCATCTATTCGCTTCAGGAGGCCTTTGTTTACCCCCCTGGAGCCGTGTGAGGCACTTTTTATTATGGATGTATGCGCTTTATTTCACTTCTTTTGGACTGATGAACTGCAACACCCGCTGACTGCCATTAAACGGCTTGGAAGATCAAAGACGATTTTTAATATAGACCTAACTCCGATTGGATTCATCTGAAAGAAGGAAGTCATATACGCCTTAGTCTCAGCCTCAGACGTCACGCCCACGGACCGTTGGCTAAACGTCTGATGCATATGGCACACAAAAGTGGAAACACTTCAGGAGTTTCAAAGTTGTCGTCGGATTGGTTGAATTATACAGGATTTCCGGTAGACGTGCGTATCGCGTTCTTTAACATTCCGCCTAGAAACAAAGATGCCGTGACGCCAAACCCTCTCACGAAAGAAGAAAGCCGTCGTGCTTACAACTGTGACGACGAGTGCTTATCAGGATCAACTAAACGCTGCATTTTCAAAAGTATGTGAAATATTTAAAGTTCGCGGCATAGAAGCTATAAAATACGTCCGAGAGTTTTACACACGGGTCTGTTATTGTGGCGACATTTCCATGCCCGAAACGTGACGATGAACGAAACGAACTGTGATTGGTTGTTTGACATGTCGGTCAAACGGCCTCATGGGCGGGCCTTGACCAATGAAAGCGGCCATGGATTCCAGACCTTCAGCCGTCAGTCCGAAGGTCTGGCTACGCGAGACTATATACACCTAGGATGGCTTGAGGGGGAGTAAACAATGGGCTAATTTTCATTTTTGGGTGAACTATCCCTTTAACATATCTTTTATTTATTTATTTTTTTAAATTGTAGTATTATTGAATTTGTTTGGAAAATTGTTTTTATATTTCTCTGGTATCTTTGTATTTTGTTTTTTTCCTTGCAATTTTATCTTTCAATGTACTTTCTGCTATAATTCAATCTCAGTATTGCTAAGCAGAAAAGTAAATAAACTTCAAACTTAAAATACAAGTCCTATGAGTGAAATAAAATTTTGGCTGTTTTGCCCACCCCTTCTCCTATCTGTTTATATTTGCTCAAAGAAAATTGACTGTTTACACTTTCATACATCAATCATACTGTGAGATATGTATCAGGTAGTGGATGATACCCAGCACTGTTGGCAGGGTTGACCAGCTCTTGTGATCTTCAGGCTTGTAGTTTGTGCTTGGCTTTAGTACTATTGTAATATGGCCTCTCTCAATATACTCTTGTTGTAAAGTAGCAGTGCTTTTGCCATCCCGACTAGATAGTGATCTCTCTTTTAGCTGAGAGAAATTTAGAGTCCTGCTTGTTGCTGTCAAACTGTGTATCTCACTGGAGTGCAGAAGTAGGTTGATGTTAAAATCTGGGTCAGCGGTCCCTTTAACACGTGTTCAGAGCTCCCGACAGGGGCAGCAGGAGTCCGTAACAAAACGCTACACATGGCAGCCGATAGAGAGGACTGAATGCAGGCTAGAATGAGATGTGTGCTGGGGGAAATAGAGCAGATGGAACACCTGATGAAATGTGTGTTAGCCCCCAAAGATACCGTCACAGGAAACCGGGTCACTAGCATATTTCCACTGTTGCCTTAAGCTTGTGTGACCACTACTCATCTGGACTGTGCTTATTTGCATTCTGATTCCAACCAGGAGGTCTGTTATTGTGAATGACGAATGTGTCCTTTTCCTCCACAGATGCAGGGACCGTCTGGTTGGTAGATGCCTGCAGGCTTTCAATGTGTGGTGTTCCTGGAGACCGAATTTAAGGAGAAGTGTTTGGGGTGTGCTGCTGACCGCCCTGCCAGCCAGACCCGGCATCCTATCTCTGATCTCCTGCCAAGGAGACAGCAGTTGCTGCACACTCTACACCTGACCCCCACCCCCGCCCCGTCCCGTCCCCGCCGCTACAATGGTGCTGTCACAGAGGCAACGTGACGAGCTGTAAGTTCACAAACCCACACACCACTGTGTATGGCAAACTATAGAAAATGCATCGGCAAATCTGTGAATGTGCAGTAGACATAATCATAATCTTTTTTGAGGAGCGCTCATACCTCATTAAACCTTTGAACACAGTGAAGTACAGTATGGATTTACCAGGGAGTTTGACAGCTGAAAAGATCACTAGTTCACTGTCATGAAGAATCAATAAGCAGATGTCTACGGGAGGTCTAGACAAAGCCTGTACATAAACAACCCTTTTGTGTCCCGTCAGGATAGACGTCATCGTAATGGGCCACTGTGAGAATTTTTTTTTGATGCAATGACAATACATGTGCTATTTTAATCTAGTTTGGTCTAGTTGAGTTGTCTTGCAGCTATATGAGGATAAATTTGGCCTGAGGTCCCGAACACAGAGTAATTAACCTTCGAACGTGCATGAGGTGGACAGATAAGAGCTTTTAATCATCAGTATGAGGTAGGGGTGTGCGATTATATATTGTCTGCGATTAATATCGTAATTGTTGTTTTAACGATGTGCGATTTGACATTATCGAGTATTTTGCAAAAGCCATTCAAAACATCCCTTCAGAGCGCATGCAAGTCGAGACTAGTGTGTGTGTGCATTTAGTGTGTTTTCTTTCACTGCGTGATTTAGTCTATTAAAATGCATTTAGAATGATCTTAAATTCAAGACATGATGGCAGAAAATGTATATATTTATACCACTTCATATAGTTATTAAATTTCACATGAAGAGTGCCGTTTTTCTCCAAAAATTATCATGATTACAAATGTGACATTGAATTCAATAAACAATAAGTTAATTAAGAGATTTGCGTTTTAGACGCCATATTGCTTGTTTTTGCTCTATTTCGCCAACAAAAATCATTCTGAATACAGCCACAGTGCTGTTTTGTGTCTCTGAGCAACATGAAGGTGTTTCGTTCTTGAATGAATCAACCGTTTAAATGATTCGGTTCAATCGCAATGACTCACTTATTAACAGTGATTTGCTGCCACCTGCTGGCGGTTTTAATTTCAAATTTCTACTTTTTCTTTCTTTTCTTTTCTTCTTTTTTTCATGTTTTAAATCATTTCAAATATCAGTATTCAACGTTTTATGTTTAATATATCAAAACATTATTTATGCATTTGTAATGGCAGGTTAAATGCATTCAGGTCTTGCATTAAACAAAATACATGTGTGTAAATACATCTAAATGCCACTTCAGATGCAGCTTCTGTGTTGATTTAATTTGCTTGGTAACAGCCCAAATGTCTTATTATTCTAATTCCCTGATTAAATGTAAGAATTTGACTCAAAAGATAAGGGACACTTTTAGAAAAAATGGCTTTATAAAGGTAAAAATGCCCATAAAATGCAAAAATCAGTTTAAACTTATTGGAAAAGATTAATTTCTATCAGTATGAACTGACCACCACACAGAATATGAAGAATATTAAAAACATTAGGAGTCAGCTGTCTTCGGCAGTCCTTAAGGTACTAGCACAATAACACACTCAGCAAAATATAATCTAATTATCGTTATCGATAAAATATCGAGATATAATTTTTTTGTCAATATCGCATACCCCTAGTATGAGGTAATGAGGGAGAGATTAAAACCAGTCGAATATGTAAAGCTGTTTACCCCTCCTCCATTGCAGAGGATGTAGCCTGGCTTTCTATGAACAACTTAATGAAGATATTGATTGCAGGAGCTAATCAATCAATAATTTTATTTCGGTCCTCACAGACAACTTTTCACAAAATAAATAAATAAACATAATTACCGAAAAAGGTGTAGGCTGAAGCCTTGCTTATTATGACTACCCTTTATACATAATTAACTGATGAGCGACACTTTTCACTAAGAAATACAAGATAAACATTACCCCAAATGTACATACATAATTCAAAACAACATAACAAACTGAACTTTGTTATCCTGACAAAAACGTGAGAAGTGTATCCACATCTGCTCTGTGTGTTTGGATGTTGATTTAGAGGGTTACTAATAGGGCTGGGTATTGACACAGATTTCTCAATTTTATTCTGACTCGGAAGCATTCGATTTGCGAATTCAATTTAAATTCGATTAGAATTCAATTCTGGATGTATATCAGGTACTGTGCATGCCAAATTTTCTCAAGGAAAAAAAAAGTAATGCTATAAAATATAAACGAGAGTCAGTTGGTACTACATTAATGTGTTTGTTTCTGAGGTAAATGTGATGTTACGTGAAATTGTTTACAAGCTGTTGCATTGACGTCTTTCCACAGTTGAAGCACTAATTGTGCGATTACATGAGACAGGATTGTTGAGACAGTAAGTTGTACTCTTTCTTTTAACATCTTTTAACTATGAACGGATGTTCATTCATGTTTATTTCATGCTGAAACTGGTACTAAAGTGGAGGATCTGTCACTCTGGCGCTACAGCGATCGGTCACTCCACATTAAACAGTGCCAAAACAGCGTGCAATAGAAACAAACAGCAAAAAATTACTTTAAAAAATTTGTGCCTTTAAGTATTGTATAGGCTTATTAAAGTATCATACAACACGCTTGCCAACATGCTCCTGTCAATGAACTGCAAATCAAAGTGCTATTTGTGAGCCAGGTGGTGTTTCCCAGGCCAGTGTTGCCACCTTGTGGAACAATTGATTAGATTAAAACCAAGTCAATGCGCATGTGCAACCTGCCCATACAAAGTATGCGTGATTACAAAAATGAGATGTTGACTAAATGAAACCCTCCCACTTGATTTATAAGTAGTGGTCGACCGATATATCGCCAAGGCCGATATTTGGCATTTTTCAAATATCTGCATCGGCCGATAAGCTTTTCTGTTTGGCTGATGCGTTCGAGGCACACCGTACTTTTATTTTGACAGTGCTGAGAACGGCCTCGCCTGAGCACACAGTGCTCGCATTCTCCCTCTTGTTCACTGTCGTCGTTAACAGTTCTGTCTAATACGGAAAAAGTCTGTCTAATAATCAGATAAAACGGTTAAACAAAGGTATTAAAATGTATACAAAGTATTATATTATTAGTAATAGAAAGGCAAACATAATACTTTCTCGTTTGCCGTCAGCATTCAGCAAATACACATTTATATCATTTTAACAAATCTTTGAATGAATAATAAACATTTAATTTCACAAACCTTGCAGACTTAGTCGAATCCAGCTGTGAGATCTTGTGAAGTTTGCATTTGTATGCTGCATGATCGCATGTTCTCTGCGTGACGGTCGGTCCGTGTGAATTGAATGCTGACAGGAGGAGAGTTCAGCAAAAAAATATTTTTTACACTGCACCCCGGCTCTCGACAGACGGCACCCCGGTTGGGAAACACTGATCTAAAGGATAACAGTTTATTTTACACATTTATTTTTTAATCAATTTTCAAATGATTTCAAATTTCTTGAATATTAATTAAAATAAATCTAATTATATCGGCCATCTGCCACCCTGCTTTCCAAGATATCGGCATCAGCTGTCAAAAAACACACATCGGTCGACCACTATTTAGAAGTGCTTTTGTTTTATAAACTTTCTGAAAAGTTAAATGTTACTTTGGTTAAAAAGAAAAATTAAAAATGCGGTACTGTTGAAAGGATGTTATCTTCCCACTCTGCATAGATTCACTAGCATGAATGTCAATAGTACTGCTAGACTGGCAGCAAATCCTGGGCAATTTGTGTGAATACTGGTAGAATACCAGGGGGCATCTTAATGCATTACTGCTGGATTCATTAGGACAATAGTAGGGGAGAAATGGAGGCAGTGACAAGCTGACCGCATGCCTCAACAGTTTATTTTCTTCTTTGGCAGATTTCATACAGCGCACATGAATAGAATCTGTGTTCGAGTTATTCAGGCTTTTCTCAATGCATAGAGCTCAGCTGCTGGCCATACAGAAATGATACTTGAACCCTTTCAAAATCTGTTCTTGGGGCACGCAAAGAGGTTTTGTTCTCATTAGCCCGCTCTTTATATTTGATTTATTCATGGGCTTTAAACTTTCTTACTCGACTGGTTAGTTTTAAAGTGAAGTGAAGTGACATGTGGCCAAGTATGGTGACCCATACTCGGAATTAGTGCTCTGCATTTACCCATCCAAAGTGCACTCACACAGCAGTGAACACACACAAACCGTGAACACACACCCGGAGCAGTGGGCAGCCATTTATGCTGCGGCGCCCGGGGAGCAGTTGGGGGTTCGGTGCCTTGCTCAAGGGCACCTCAGTCGTGGTATTTTACTTGTAAAGTGATTTTATTATATTTATTTTAGATGAATTTTGTTAATTTGCAGCACAGTTTAACTAGCCTTCATCACATGTATAAGTCTAAGAGCAATGCCTGTTTCATTCATTTAAAAAAAAAAAACTGTGTCCGTATGACCAAGATAAAAATTACCAGGAATCCTGTTGCACAACATCTTAAAAAGGCTATATATAGTTACAAATTCATAATAGAGTCACTCATACAAGAGTACATTGTGTTTGTGCACTGAACGCTTGGCAGATTGAAGCCTGCGAGGGTTTGTTGTAAAAATAAACACGCGGCACATTGCTCGGTAGACACAAAGTGTTGGTATAATGGAGATGTGGGTATTTATTAGGGCTGGGACGATAAATCGATGCAGAATCGATTCGTGGATCGATTCTTAGATTTTCTGAATGCATCGCGATTTTAACCGCAGTTGGCACTCGAATCTAGTTGTTATTTTATGACGCGAGATTAATGTAAACACAGCCACTGTGAACACCTTTGTAATTCGCTTCAACCTTTTTGAATTTTATGAATGATTATTTTATGTTCAAGTGTGTGTAAGGATTTGTAAACAAGCAGAGTACGGCCATTTCTAAAGCATGCAGTGCCATCTGCTGTTTAAAACTAAGCTCAGAATCGATTCAAGAAAGAATCGCGATTAGGGATGTAACGATTAACCGCAAGTCGGTTGAAAATCGATTTATATGTGACGATTCAAA